GTTGGTCTGACAGGACCTGCTGCTGATGAACCCGTGCTGGTTGCCCCTGAGCATGCCGTTCCCTGCTGGCCCCTCCTGGATGCGTGCCAGAATAATTTTCTCGAACAGCTTGCCCAGGATCGAGGTAAGGCTGACTGGCCTGTAGTTCCCCAGGTCCTCTTTCCTCCCCTTTTTGAAGATGGGAACCACGTTGGCCTCACAGGCTCCAAGAGAAGAGTGAACCTGTGGCTGACAGAGCCTCAGGCCCTGTCCTTACCCCTCCCGGTCCGCCTCTGGGCAGGGCTGGGGGGGTTGTCTGCCCTGTTTGCAAACAGCTCTTGCAGGCTGGAGCTCAACCAGCCTGCAGAGCTGTTTGCTCAAGTAGGGAATCCATGGGGTTCTCTGCTCAGAGGAGAAATCCATGTTTTCTCTGATAAAAAGGGGGAATCTGTAGTTTTCTCTGTTTTCCGTGGGAAATAGAAAACCAGGATCCCTGCTGATGATGCATCCTACATGCAGCTTGCAGTGCCTGCATATCGCAGCTGCTTTCCCCTTCAGCACCTGTGGCAGGGACATGAGAGATGATGTTCTGGTGAAGCAGAGCCAGGAGTGACTTAAGTCCCAGAACTGGTTGTTCGGGTGATGGGCCCAGCTCAGGACTGACGCCAAAAGGAAACAGAGCTGACAGGTAGGCCATTGCCTTTGGTGGTGGTGGGGGGGGGCCTTTATCAAGGGTCCCAGACACTTGTTTTTCCTGCTTGTAGCAGGAACAGCAGCTTCCCATGTAACAGTGATGGGCAGTGGATCAGCAGGGCACAGGAGAAGCCAATGCTCCTGCAGAAGCACAAGAGCTGCCCTTTGAGCAGCGAGCACATGGCAATGACATCTGGAGGCATTACTGCAGCTTCCTGCTGCCTCAGCTGTCTACAGCTGCATCTTGTCTTTAACCCTGTGGGCAATGCTGCTATGCAGCCATGGCCAGATTCTGACTTTCCTTTGGCATCAGCCTTGGTGACTGGGGTCCAGTTGCTTACACCAGAAAGGGGCAGGGGTAACTAAGGCCACGCATGCAGCTGTCACTGAAAATAGGGTTGAGCCTGAGGACTGGCCATCTAGATGTTCAGCTGGGAACTTTGTCCTCTGATCCCCAGGGTTTCCACAGCTTCCAGGTTGGAGCATTTCCTGCTTTAGAAATGGAGCTTTTTTATGAGGAGTCACTGAGACCCCCCCCACAGAGAGCTCCTGGCTTAGGTCACGTAAGCCTGGAAGTGCCTGAAATCTGAAGGTATCTTCAGACTCCCTAGCAACAAACCTTTAAACCTGGCCTACTTCAGCCACATCATGGTTCAAAACCAGGAATTCCCTTGGCTTTTGCCTGTGCCCTTGAAGCGCTTGTGCCCAAGTGACCCCTGCTCACAACAGAGCCAAGGGAACTAGCGGCCCTCTCCCTCTCAGCCCAGCCAAGAATGAGCCATTGGGCCAGGAGCACCCAGAGGTATGTGCTTCTGTAGCCTTGTGGTTACGGGCTCTCAGCTGCACTAGCACTGGCTTGGGTTTGAGTCCAGGCTTGTCTGTATCTTTTCTATAAGATGACCCTTGTCTTATGGAAACCCTCTGGTGCCAGGCACCAGAGTGGAGGCATCTATGGGATAAGCCTGGGGCTGGCGCCCAGCTGCGGCAGAAGTGCTGCTGCCCAAAGGAGAGCCTTATGCTGCGTTTCAGCATCTCTTCTTAGTGACCGAATGCAGCTTCCCCCTTGGGCACCCATCTACCTCCAGGTGTTGCACAGGACACTGCACCTGGCTGCTGTGTATTCACACAGTCAGGTACCACAACACAAACTGGGATCCTGCTGGGGAGCCAGCCCCATGCCTCCAAAGTGGGACACACGAGGCTTGTCCAGGCCTATGGACAGCAGCCGCCACGCTTTGGCAGCTGCCAATGATGCGTGTTCTTGTCAAGGGGGCATTTCTGTCCGATGCGAATGAGAGCCATGCTCCAGCTCCATAAATAGCCTCTGCAGGCTCTGGCTGAAATCTGCCATCCTTCCTTTTAAGGCAAGCTGCACTCTGGGAGCCGTTGCTGCCAGAGAAGGAGACTGCAGGCAGGGTAGTTCCCGCTGTGCTTTTATTGACTCATTCGCCATTCAGAAGTTTCACATCAACCCTCACAGAACAAAAGGGACCGAGTTTCCTTCACAGAAGAAAATACATTTATATTTAAAATAGACACAGCTGCCTTATGAAACCTGAGGCTTTTGGCACCTTTTAAAAACAACAGAGGTTTCTCCCCTGGCTCCTGCCCAGAGCTTTCTCCTTGCTGCAAAAGAGTCTCTTGTCCAAACCATGTCCCAGTCCTGCCCTGGTCAGTCCAGCCCTGGGGGCAGCGCTCAGGCACCACAGCTGGCAGCTCCCCTGGCCGTGGACACCACTTCTTCAGCTTTCAGGCTACTGCAAACACCAGTGCTGTCCATGCACGCTCTCAGGCCTGGAAGAGGCTGCATCAGCAATAACGTATCTCAAAACAGCAATACTGAGCATCATGATCCTTTATGTCATCCCAGCACCCTGGACCAGGATATTCGCCAGCCTTGCAAGGAAAAGGAAAAAGAAAAGATACCCACCGCATTCAGCCTACATGAAACAATCTCACCATGCACTCGGTACGCCACCAACCAACACGGCTGCAGCGCAAGTTAGGGCTCTCTGTGGCATTTCCTTTGCCCAGCGCAGACGTGGACCGTTTTCTGTAGTGGCAGTGCCCTCTAGTGGAGGCGAGGAGCAGGAACGGCCTTTGTGCTACAGAAGAGTTTCAAGGTTGCTTTTCCCTGGCTTCCCGTTTCCTCTGCTCCCTAATACTGGCACCTCTGAAAGATGCTAACGAGCTGCTCCCATCACTATTAGACGACAAACCTGGCTATTTCATGTCAAGGCCGTATCCACTGCTCACCAACAAGCTGCTTGTTAACCTTGAGTCTACAGCAAACACTGAATCCCAGAGCCACACCCGACAAAAAAAAATGAAGTCACCTACTGCCTATGCTCAAGGGGCCCTCGGCTTGCTGCAAGACAAAACTACAGCCTCCAGGAAGGGAAAAAAAAAAAAATAATAATAATCAGGCTAGCCAACACGTAAAGCAGAGTGGGAGCATCATGGTAACTGGTGTCTGGGCACAGGGAAGGTTCAAGCTCCTTCGTGTTTGCTCTGTGCTGAAAGAGCTGATGTTTAGGCAGCATACTGTAGGGTTTCTATTTTGTACAGTTGTCCTTTGGAGTAGTCTACATTGGAGGACTGCAAAAATGTGACCTTAGTGTTCAGCCAGGAGGTGGCATAACTGCTTCTGCAGTTCTCCGTCCGCTGAAGTGGACTCTGAGGAAAATTTTTACTGCAGGTTCCAAACCCCCAGCACACAGTGTGAAAAAGACATATGGTAAACCCTAGCAGACTCCGATGTATCAAGAGCCTAATTAGCATCTTTCAAGACCTGGTGCCTTGCTCAGGCACCAAGAATGCCTACGAGGATCTGCAGTTCAAACAAACTGTTCACAATACTGTACCTAGACTCCTGGCAGCCCCGAGTGAACTTTTAGTATCGGGCCCCTCCACTTTGCCAGAGATAACAATAATAATAAAATCAGACAACAGAAAAAAAAAATTACCATTTTCAGGCCCCCTTACTGCTCAGGCCCTGGACAGCCACCTGGTTCACCCATGCCTGTGTCCAGCTCTGCCTGTTAGTGTTGTAAGCCCTAACCCACGGGAAGGAGTTCAGTTCTTTCTGGGGTCTCCTGATATCACAGGGCTGGTTTGTCCTGCCTCTTTACCACTTCATAAAGGGGAGATCAACTTGCTGAGACCTGAATTCCTAATTCACAGGCTGACAGACTCAGCACAGGCTGACAAACTTAAGTGTCTCAGACACCTTCCTGGGTACAGAAAATGTGGTGAACTTCCCACCACAAAGCAAGTCTGAGAAACCTACTGCAGCAGTGAGCTCTCCAACTGAAGACAGTGGTGTGCAGGCCTACTGCAGTCCAGGCGTTTCCATGAAAGAGCAAGGCTTTGTACATGGCAGAGGCCTCAATCGTTCTAGATAAATTTAGCTTGATTTGGTCACTGGCAGAGTAAACTGTTACGGAGGCACAAGCCTAACCAGTGAGGTCAGACGGCAGTGTAGTGCGGCTACTTGAGCTATAAGCTCACGGTTAGGGTTAAAGATACCAGGGTGACTCTGTTCCAGCAAGAGAAAAAGCATTTTCATGCCAGCCCCCAACCCCTGTCCACATAAAATGTCTCTTGCCAAATTGACTTTCCTCTCAATAACACACTAAATAGCTGAGCGCCTGCAGAACCAGTGCTTGGCTGGTTCAGATTCCTAGACAAGGCCACTCTTGAGGGATACTTGAACCAACCAAGAAGAGCAGGTTGCTGCACTACACTTTTCCCTTGGCAGACCTTATGAACATAAAGCCAACTGGCTGTTGAACTCCGTTAGCCACGAAGCATCTTTATTCTTCCATAAAAACATGGCAGCCACAGCCCACCAGTCACCTATGATTGACTTAAATTAGCCCCCTGAAACTGGTGAGGACAGAGTCACTGGTTTATGGGCGTGCATGTTGGGAAGGGAGACAGTGCTGGGCTGTCTCCCCCATTTGGGGAGCTTCTCTGAAGGTAAGTGTAGTGACAATTCCCCCCCTGTTCTGTGAGCTGAGAGGTTTGAGGCAAAGGTTGTGTTTGAGGCATGGGCTGCCGCCATGGTCTCTTGTGTTTTAAAATAGACGATATAAACTACCGGCAGGACGATTCCTATCAGGAGCATGATGAAAACAGCATTCCACCACTGGATTCCCCAGTCTGCCCCTGTACCGGCCTCCTTTGGTCTTCCTGAGCTGGAAGGTAGCCAGTTCGGTGCCTCGACACAGTCTACGTTTATACTGACTTCCGACTGCACCGCGTCCTGAATATTCTTGTCGATCCCTTTAAAGTAGTCGGTCAGGTGCCCGGATTCAACATAGCTGCTGCTCGAGGCTGCCTCCTCAGGCTCCAGCGGGTCAATGAGGGTCAGGGCGGCCTGGGCACGTTCACTCCGGGGAGCTTTTAATTCTTTGCTGGTCTCGGTTAACACCCCGTGGGTCTTTACAGGGATCTTGATGGACTTCAGAGCATACAAATCCTGCTCCTGGATGAAGTTGTTGATGCGCTTGATATCTGCAACCTACAGAAACCAGAAAGGACAGACACGTTAGGCTGAGCTCTTGTGATCCTTTAGGATTGCCGACGTGAAAACAAACCGCAGCACGTGCTGCGCAAGTCAGCACGCTGGGAGCAAACATGGGGGCTCATCAAGCACATATTCTTGTAGCCTTTCCAGCCGGCAGTCAGAAGTGTGACAGGTTCCTAAGGAAATGCTGCGTGTGCCTTATTGCCTTTTCCTTCCCATCTCTGTGGTTTCTACTGTCTGCCACTGCTGTTTTTGCCTTAGGTTTGTGGGGGAAAGCTGTGGCAGTGAGGACTTTTTAAAGTCACTTCCACGCCCCCCGCACTCTGTGAATAAAGTACTTTTAGCTCTTTTGGGTGAGCAGACAATCGGTGCATGAACAAACAAAACTACCCCACTCCACATGAAGTGTGCGCTGCCTTTCCTCGTCTCCTGGAGTAGCTCTAGTCCCGCCTGGAGAGAAATCTTGCAGCCAAAACCCAAACCTGCTCTGGCCCTGCTCGTTCCAGGCTCAGACGCACCATATTCTGGCCCCCACACCGCTTCCCGTCCCTGCAGACTACCAGCTCTCAGCAGGCTGAAAAGTCTAGCAGAAGCCAGGCTCATTTCATAACTAGCCTCACTGAGGGGAGAACTGCAGGCTCTGCGGGTGACACTTCTTCACCACATGCGACTCTAGTGTCAAGAACACGGCTACTTCAGAGAGAAGCGTGGGACTTCCGCACTTCGTCACATCTCTTCCGAAACTAACTCTCCAGTTTGAAGGCAAGGAGGATTCAAATGCTAGCCTGAAAGGACTCCCAGCAGTGCTGCCAGCACTCAGGGGCGAGGCAGTGACTTTCGTGTGTCTGTCCTTAGCCCGCAATAAGTAAAAGCTCATCTGTCGGAGTTCAGTCTCGTCTCACGGAGGGCAAAGTGGCCCTGCTTTAGCTTTCACTTCCTGCAGGGGTAGGAGTGGGCGTATGGACACTTGCCACAAGTCAGCTGCTCCCTACTTTTAACTTACTCCACTTCATGCCTTTCCCATACCCTCCAGAAAGAGACCCAGACGCCCTGGCTGAAGTCCTTAGCCTCCTGCCTGCCCTGCCCGAGCCTCATGCTGCGAATGGGCAGCTGGTGTTCTCAGGACAGCATTTTGGAGGAAAACTGCATTTTGGCCTCTCAGAAAAAAGGAGACTTATTAGTTGGCATCTTGGTGATGACTGTGGTTGGTCCCCATCTTACCACATACCAGGGGCCAGACTCTAGAGCTTCCCCCCTCCCCAGCTCAAGCCACTGGGGCAGGTGCTTTCTGTGGGCATAATGCACTTCTGTGTCCATATCTACCATGGGAGAGCTCAGAGCCTAGGTCCGGCTCAGGGACTGCTCAGGCTCCTGCTCTGTGCTACTGGGATCCCATGATGACTTGCCTATGAGTTCACTGTTGGGCCCAAGGAAAGGGACCAGCGCTTCCTGAGCGAGGATCAAGAGCTCCGGGAATTTTCAGCCACGTCAGCGTAAAGGCAGGTAGCCCCACTCTGCACTCACTGCACACACAAATCTTTTGGCTCCAGTTTCTGACCAGCTTTAAGAGGACTGGGGACAGAAAGGCAATCACCTCCGGAAGTGTCCCCTGGAGAGCCTGTGCCCACCCTGCCGAGGCTTTTTTCCTGGATTACCCATGGGGAAAAACAGCTCCTTGCTAAAGGCCGAGTTCGGCTGTAAGCTCTTGGCATCAGAACATCTTTCCAACCCGAGTCTGTACAGCACCCAGCACAAGGGGGTCCTGGCCCATGGCTGGGTGGCTTAATGCTTTGAGAGTACAAATACTTACTCATTCGAGGAGGAAAAAGACAACCCAAGACCACACAGATAACGGTGCAAGGACAAGACACAGAGTGAGACTAGTTGGATGGAGAGAAACAAATCACTATGGAAATCCCAGCTGGAAAAAAAGGGGATTACCTTTCCTGCAACTACACGGCCTTCTTGTTCACACTGAACTGCCCGCTGCCTTTCGCTCCCCATCGTGTCTCTGCCTCCTGTTAGCTCCTTGTGGTAGGGAAAACAGCCCACCATATCTGTACAGCGCCCAGCCCAACAGGGACTCTCACCGACTGGGGGCTTCTAGACACTACCAGAACCTGAATGACATTGGCCTAGACCGGGAATCTGCAGCTCCAGCGCTACCGCCGGAGTATCCGACTCTGCTGGATTCTTCTCATGGCTAACATCCATCTGGGAAACAAACCCTGGACAATGAATGACTGCATCTTTTTGTCAGGGACAGTGTTAGTGCCCCAGAACCCACTGGGGAGAGATGATGAAAGAACAATGCTGTAAGCAAATGTAGCACTCAGCTTTTCAGAGCTAGAAACCCACATGTGGGCCCTGTTCTTGGTCCTCAACTGGCAACAGAAGGGGAGGGCAGAAGGTAAATTCTCCAAATGAGGTGCCAGGGAGTCCAAGTTATCTCAGAGACAGGTAGAGCAGGGCACATACCAATAGGGCTCCAGGCAAAACCCAAAGGCAGCACATCCAACTGAGCCACTGCAGAAGCCCACCAGCAGAAACACAGCGCCAGACAGACACTGCTGTTTCCAGGGACAGACATTCAAAAAGCCTGAGTCTGAACTGATTCAATCTTTGCAGCAAGGAGCTGGGGACAGAAGTTCCATAAATCAATTTGACCCAAATCTGTTAAGTCTGATACAACATTCAACCAGGTTTATCTTATACCAGTTTTGGACATTTTGAAACTGGTTTATATGCATGCACTGAACTTATCTGAACCACTTTCTGATGATTTAAACAGGTTTATGTGTAACTTCTGTCCCTAGGGGTTAGTCTCCATTGTGCTCATTTCATGCTGATAAGCTCCATTTTCTATAGGAAGTGGGGACATTTCTTTGGGGAGCTTGAAAGCGGCCAAACTTCTTTCTTCCAGAATAAATCACAGCTGCACAGCCAGCTCAATGCACTGACTTGGTTTAAACAGAGTGCTTGCAAACAGCTCCAGCAGGAACTCAAACAGCTTTGTTGCTGCAGCTACTGATCAATGGCCACTTGAAGAGTTTCTCTTTCCTGGCCAGCTGAGGGCCAGCCCTGGAGATCCCAGCCAGCCGGCAGCACAGGTAAAGTGGCAGATGGCCACAGAAAGTCAGGCAGTTTTAAATGGTGGGAATCTGGGAGGCACTAGAAATTTAATCCTAGTGCCAGCCTCCCAGGGCATTTATACACGTGGTCCGGGAACAGGGGCAGGCTTTAATTAATTAGAGTGGCTCTGAGGGGCGCTCTAATTAAAGCATCCAGAGTGTCATGTGCATCAGCGTTCCCACGCTGAAAAGGTGCTTTAACTAAAGCTCGTTGAATGAGCTAAAAGGGAGGCGCACACCCAATGGCAGGGAGGGGCCATCCCCAGGGAGGACTACACTGCAGTTGCTCGAGGATGTAGGGGGGCGGTCAGGAAGGCCAAGGTGGAGATGGGACTGGGACTAGCTTCCCGGATCAAGGACAACAAGAAGTCCTTTTTTAAATACATAGGGGGCAAAAAGAAGGTACCAGAGAACATGGG